CGCCCAGCGCTACGACGCGCCGGAAACAGCGAGAGGGTCGCCACTTACGCCCAGAATTTCGAGGACGCTCCACGCGACAGCGCCACGACGCGCTGGAAACAGCGAGAGGGTCGCGACTTACGCCCAGCGCCACGACGCGTCGGAAACAGCGAGAGGGTCGCCACTTACGCCCAGAATTTCGAGGACGCTCCACGCGCCAGCGTCACGACGCACCGAAAACAACGACAGGGTCGCCACTTACGGCTAGTATTTCGAAGACGCTCCACGCGCCAGTGCTCCGACACGACTAAAACAACGAGAGGGTTGTCACTTACGCCGGAATTTCGAGGACGCTCCACGCGCCAGCGTCACGACGCGCCGAGAGCAGCGAGAGAATCGCCACTTACGCCCAGAATCTCGAGGACGCTAGCGTCACGACGCGCCGGAAACAGCGAGAGGGTCGCCACTTACGCTCAGAGTTTCGAGGACGCTCCACCCGCCAGCGTCACGACGTGCCGGCGGACCGACCGACCGACCGACCGTCTCTTTCTTAAAAGAAAGGAAAGGATAGCGTGGCTGACCAGAGCCTTACAGCCACGCCTAGGAAAAAAAACACAGGGCCCCTTAATCTCTTTCGGCCCTAGCCTAAGGTTTTTGATACTACGACGCAGAGCTGTCTTCGAATCTCATTGACACCCTCTGCTCGGATTCCTCTGCCGCTGGGCCTTCAGCAAAAGGCATTAGTTCGTCCACAAGTTCAAGGCGGGGAGCAGTTGCTTCTTGTGCGCAAAAACCCAGAGCTCTGTGCAACGTTGCCAGGTTCTATGAACTGGCAGGGATCTACTTTGGCACTTGACTCTGCGCTTTCCTGGAGTCACGCGTGCAACTCGTGGCACCGGCCTCCTGGAGGAATTCAGGATCGCCTCCTACAAATTCCTCCGTACGGCATGTCTTCATGCCGTTCCTATTCATGGCGCTTCATGGCAGAAAGTTCTAAGTTCCCAAATCTGAGAGCAAGCATTATGCACCAGGCTCGAAGAAGAACTCAAGGACAAATTGGTACAATCCCTTGTGCGATTGTAAAAAATCTGAGATCCTCACCTTCAAGGTCAGTGAGCGGCACACCCACAAAAAGCTCCATCGTCAACACCTCTCAGCAACGATGTTTTTTTGACTTGCCACTCTAATGCTGACAGAATATATGTTGTTGGAGAACAGCTATGCCAACTGAGGCCGTCCTCCTCGACCAGATATGATCCGGGTGCGGCCGGCTCCCCCCTCCCCACCCCCAAGGGTTCCTCCCCTCCATCCTGCGGTATCTCTGCTGGCTTTCGGTTAGGAAAGTTTGGGGAATTTATGATAAGATTTCACCTCTCCCCCTTGTGGTGTGGTTGGCGGTTTGGCTTAGGAGCATCCCCACTTGTAAAGCGGCTCTAACTTGGAATTAAACTATTCCCCCCCACCGCTGCTTTGGAGTCTGCTTTGTTTCTTAGAGGATACTGAGACTTGTTGTAGGACAACAGACCATGCCTTCTTGCCCGACGCCTCCGGAAATGTCCTGAGGCAAGCTGCAAGGTTGATTCCCATCTAGCAAGCTTCAGTCAACAGAGCCGTTAGGCGCAACAGCGGTTGAATCCAAGCATGATTCAGGTTCAAACATGTTTTTGTTGATGCCTCGGCTGAATTCTATCGGCAGGAGTCCTGGGGGCGGCAGCGATGCGCTCGAGGCCGTTACTGCACAAGAACTGGCGGAATGTCTCCACGTTCTCCATCTCCTCTCAAAGGTCCAGCAATGCCAAGTGTGGTCGATATGCCTCTTCAAACATCTCCTTGGTGAAGTCCAGCTCATCCAACCTGTTAATTGTTGCTGGGAGGGCCGCTGAGCTGTGCACTGTGAGCTACGTACCATTAGGCCAAGATACATTGAGGAACGGATTTCTGAGATGATGTCGACCTCGAGCTGGACAGCACAGCACATCACCGGCGACGGAAGCGGCAGAGCGCCGCTCCACGGATGTTCTGGCAAGGTCTGGGCTCAAGAACCTTGAAATCCGCTGAGGCCAGGGAACAACGCTTCGCACTCGAGCAACAGCATCTCTGAGGAGCTCTGCTCTAACGTCCGGGCAGCAAGGAAGAGGAAGCCCAAATCTGCCTCCATTTGCAGACTTCAACCTGCCTACCTTCAGGGGTTCTGTGGGAATTCAAACTCTCCGCATTCAAACTGCCTTGAGCACCGAGTCCACGCCAGGTTTCTGCACTTTCACCGCGACCTGCTCGCCTGTCTGCAGAACCTCACTCCAACAAACGCCCGCCAAGAGGCCGACCATCAGCATCAGCGCTCCCAGATTGGAGGTTAGTCTTGCGACTCCTATTGCTGTCACAAGCTCGGGTCTCACGCTGCTGAATGCACCTGTGCGACGGAAGCCTGGCTGCTGAGAAGAGTGGCTGAAAGAGACCTTTTTCATGAGCAGTCTCAAGATGTTCCTGAGGCTTCTGCGGAAGCCAAGGGCTCCTGATAGAAAGGTCAAAGCAGGATCAAGTCGGCATGTCAACCTGTACTGCTTGTTCTCGCTTCCGCTGCATTGATCCCATCTTGGCTTAAGGCCATGTCTGCTGTCACCTACAGCTTGTCCTCCTGGAAGGAGCGAAAGACTGCCCCCAGCGGCCGCCTTGGAATGCGGAGATCTGCAAGCTTGCGGTACCTGAAGAATCTGAACTAGAGCCAGGACGCCCCAAGTCGGCCTCGAGCGTACGCCTCGGAGGACGGGCAAACGGCCGCTTGGAGGTGCCGACCGCCGCATTCGCCGCGCCTGATGGCCGCGAAGCTGGTGGGCTCCGTGCGGTCCAAACACCGCCTGAAGTTTTATCCTTCTGTGCGCAATTGGATGCTTTGGGAAGCTTTTTAGATCCAGACTGGAACTCCCGTACGTAAGCTTCCGGGAAGAGCGTGGGTGAGGACCTCACGAAAGCTGAGGACCATGACACACTTTGGAACACCGCTGACTCAGGATCGGACGCGATAAACTGGCCAAGCTTCACATAGGTGCTGCCCAGCCTGGCACAACTCAAAGTTGCCAAAGGGCGGCAGGGTCGAGCCCGAGGCCAAACGATGTAAGAAGAAGAAGAAGGAGAAGAGTACAGAAGAACGTTCATCTTGCATCAGCCACAAGAATTATGTCTCTGGCATTGGCTGGCACACAATGTTGAGGATGGTAGCAAGTTCTCATTGGCTAGAGCAACCCCAGCGCAAGGATGATGCTCACGTACCTCTGTTTGGTTCAAGAAAAAAGCGTTTGGTTTAGTTGGCACTGCGTAACTGCTTGTGGCCGCTTGTGCGTGATACGTCCAACCTGCTAACTGCTAGCCATGCGCTGGCATGGAATCCTTCGAAGATCTTGAAACCTCCAGGCAACGCTGCGCGGCGCGATTGGACGACAAAATTTGAGAGTCAGCTCACGCGCCGGCTTTGGCTTTGGATCCAACCCGTTGGGCCGTGTAGAGCTTCAGCTGTTGGTAGTGGGTACTGTAAGTTCTTTGCTTGGGGTGCCGTGGGAAGAAACGTCACGACAAGTTGCAACGCGGTCGCAGGTAATGTCAGTTCCTTGCTTGGGGCCTCGTGGGAGGCAGGGACACTATCTACAAAAAACCCTGGTCTTGGCACAGGCGCAGGTGAGAGAACGAGTACTGGACGTGATGGACGAACAGCGGTTCCATTGCTGCGGGCCAAGGCGGTTGCCAGGCCAAGCCGAGGTCCGAATGTCCAACGAGGCGTTCCCCTGCGACAACTAAAAGCGTGAGACCGGTACACCAGCATCCAGGTACCAGTAGGACTCAGAGAAACCTGCCTGGGAACTGCACGCTACGAGCTAGAGCAGAACGGTCGGGCCAAACAGAAGCTGGCAAGGCCCGGCAAGCGAAGGCGCAGCGACTAAGACTGGGAGAGATGGAGGGATGGGGTAGGAGAGGGTGAGGCATGGCATGGCAGTGCTGCAATATTCGGAGCAACTAACTAGGGAGCGCTCCTGGACGCGGGTCAGGAGCGGGCTCAGGCAAACGCCGGAGCACCCCGCGGGCGTTCTCACGTTGTAGCGCGACAGCGAGGGACTCGTAAAGCCGGCTGGCTTCGACGGCAGCTGTCTCGGCAGAGCAAGCAGCAAGAGCTTGGGCAAGCGCCTGCCAGGTCTTGACCGCAGCAGGCCCCCATCCACCTCGGCTTTCCACCACCAAAGGGATGAATTGGAGGCTTTGCGCAATGCAAAAGTCCTGCATTTGCAGATGTGCGCGCTTGCGTGTCTGCGGCAACCCGGTCGGCGCCGGAGTCAAAAGCGTGCAGGCTGCCATGGCGCGGCCCCGTGGTGACGGCCAAGTCGAAAGCCGCGGGGCCGTGCACACCCCAGTTGGGCCCATAGACATTGGCCGGCCGGCGACCATTGCGGTCCTGCGCGCTGCGCTCAAGCAAACCATCCTGGTCAGAGCAGGGTGGCAAGAGCCCAGGCTTCTCAACCTCGGGATGGAGGCCAGCGGCTTGCGTCCGTGCTGCCAGAACAGAGCGCAAGCGGTTGTGACGCTTAGTGCGGTCGCCTCCGCACCCAAACCTGTCGGCTACTCCGTCGCAGAGGGGACAGGCCGTGTCGGCCAGGGCGACAAGCGCAGGCGGAGCTTGACAAGCACGCGAAAGAGATCCGGACCAATCTATTCCGCAGCAATTGTCCATGCAACCCACTGCCCTGTGGGGAGCAGTGACGGGGAGAGCAGAAACCGCACGAAGCCCTGCATTGGATGTCGCACAATTTTGAGCAGTGTACCAAGTTCGCATTGGCTAGCACAGCCCCTGTGCAAGGATGACGCGCACATACCTGTATTTGGCTAAGAGAAAATGCTTTTGTGTTGTGAGTTTGCAATGAAGTGTCTGTGGCCTCTGAAAGAGCCGACGCAGGAGCCGCGCCAGCGGGGCATCATCGATTTTCTCACCACGGGCCAGGCCTTGCACTGCCCGCAGCGCCTGGGATCTGAGGAGAGGGGGCGGAACATGATGGAACATGAAGTATCCTAATAATCGACTTCTTATCTTAACTGCCCCCTTTTCACAACTGCCAACCTCTTGGAGCTCGTTTTGCTGTGCAGCCTCCAAGGCGGTCTGCACCGTGGCCCGGACGGCTTGCAGACCACGGACAGCGCCCGCCTGGAAAACCGCAAAAAAAAAACAAATGCAGACCGCCTTCTGGGCCTCATCCCTTCTTGCCTCGAGGCCCGCTGAGCTCACCTTGCAGCCAAGGACAAAGGTGCAGGATGGTCCAGGCGCATGCAGCAGGCACGCATGCAGTTTCCCCGCATGCTGCATCTAAGCCCTGCACGACTTTGAGGATGTCTTGTAGAAGCCGACGAGCAGCCTCTTGCCGCTCCTGGCGGGGGGTTGGACACCAAGCCCCAAAAGTTCACCACAACAACACAACGTTCTCGGCCTCTGAGGCGTCGGAAGTCGCGGTGGAAGTACCGGTGGCAGCGGCAGCAGCAACGGTTTTCACTCGTCCCAGTCCCGGTCCGGGTGCCGTCAGACTCGACCTGGAACACCGGAACACTGGAACACTGGAACAGTGGAACAGTGGAAAAAGGACGAAAAAGGAAAAAAGAGACGACTTCCAAGCTTCTCTCTGCCAAGCTCAAGGCTCGGCCCGGCTCTGCTCTGCTTCAGCCAAGGCTCGGGGCGAAGGACAGGGCGGACAGCGCGAAGGACAGGGATCCAAGCGCTAGGGGCAAGATGATGGCAATTGGCCTGCAAACTGCGGCAGAGACACCAGAATCGGAGAAGAGAGTAGTCTGAGTTTCCGACCAAAACAAAAGGCAGCTCAAAACGCCTGAAGCCCTCCCCGATGTAGCTTTCCATCTGGCTCGGGCGGCCATTTCCTCTTCAGATCTGGGAAAAGCTGCTTAAAGCTGCTCAAAGCCGATAATGCGATTGAGAATTCTTTTAAAAGTCTTCTTGAAAGGCTGACTTGCAGTGTCTGTTTTCACAGGTGTGTCTACTCATGGGTGGCCGCCCCACAAACCTTGAGCCCCACATGGCAATATTCAGGGGCTGTACGGAGAAGTGCGATCAAGCGCGACAGAGGTGTGGCAGAGCGAATCTGTTGCCGCATAACCAAATCTTTTTACATGTCAGCTGGCAATGAGCTGGTTCTGCAGGCGCTTCTTCTCTTCAAGGACGAAGTTGCCTACTGAGCCCAAGAGCACTAATCAGCTCAACATGAAGCTTTGTCTTTGATATGCCGAGGGGCCGAACCAGCTGCGGTAGATAAACCAGCCATAGGTAGCGAAGGCCAACACAATCAAAGCAGAGCTGGCGGCTGCCACGGGCCGCGAGAAGGGCATCAACACGGTCAGGATGCCTGTAGCGTCATGTAACATGTTCTCATTTCGGCGCCAAAAGCCTCCGTATGCCTCCGCAGACGGATGCTTGAGCGGCGTAAGCAGGTATTGTGGCCCACATTAGCCGGTTTCGGCTCGGGCTCACGCCTCAAGGAAGACAGCATGTGCCGGAAGTATATAACAACCGAAGCTATGGCCAAGGTTCGATACATGTAGCCATACCTCGGGCTGCCAAGCACTCTGCGTCAGTTTGCTCGGCAGCTGCTGCCGCAGCTGCTGCCGAGCTGCGCGACACGTGCGAGGACCCAGATCCAAGCGACACTCCCAGCGAAGGTTGCGTCCACGAACAGCGCGCAAACCCACATCGACAGGAAGAATGCCCAAGCCTCGCTGCATCTTGCTGCGTTGTGTCAGAAGTCTGAAAAAACACCTCCGAATGTCCCGCAAGGCCTGCTCCACCTGATTCTGCTGGGCACGCAAGGCACGGATAAATGGCCTTAGAGCAGATTCAGCTCACACAGTGACATGCAGTGACATGTTGTCTGCAGAGACTTTGCTGAGACTTTGGCTCCAGCATCTTTGGATCTTCTGTCTCCGTGGTGAAGGGGTACTTCAGCTGATAAGGTGTGCGCGCAGCGCCAACAGCAAAGGTATCGATGAAGACATAGTGAAGAACGAACACGGCTGTCGCCGCACAGGGCAACTCAAAGCCATCGACGAGCATTGCGTTTGCTTCTGGAGGGAACTTATGAGCCGAATGACGAGCCGGTGCGCGCAGCTGCGACGGCCGGAAGCGGAATAGGCACTTGGATGCTTCAGATAACTGCGAATGCTTCCTCACACAGCCTTTCCAAAGAGATCAAACGTCACCTACAGCTGGATTGTGCAACTTATGTACATCACCGAGAAGTGAAGAACAAGCTAGTCACCGTCAACACTTCGGCATTTCGGTGTTCGGCAGTATCACAGCATCGTGGCCTCGTGGCATGACATGGGCCCACGTCATAAAGGGGGCGATATCACGATGGCACATGATAGCACGAGGCCTGCAAGCCCCGGCGGGAGATCCAGAGCGTATAGCGACTCAACGCAAGGCCACGCTTCTCGACAACACAGAAACTCATAGCTTCAAAGCCCCGGCGCTCCTTGGCAAGGCAAGGCCCGGCAGGCCACCGTCCGGTAGGAAGCAGTCGGAGTCCGTGCATGCCATGGGAGCCTTCCAAAAAAACACAGAAACTTTGAAAAGGATTAAATGCTTTGGCAATGCTTTGGCTTTGGCTCCGGCCTGGCAGGCGCCACTTGACCAAATGCCTCCAAAAATGCAAAGCGGCATGCTTTCACAGCGGCCTTCTTGCAGACCAGCCACAGTAGCTGCCCGGACGCATGTGAACCTCAAGAAACACCACAGCAACAAAAACATCAGAAGGCACAACGCTGCAGAAGTGGAATGAGTGGCGCCTCCTTCGAGTAGAAGCCAGCAGCAACGCCCGGCCCCACACAGGCCTTCACAGACTTACAAAACACCTTGCCCCACTAATCCATGGAACCATTCCGCCAGCCCGACA